TTCAATTTATTTGGATGTTCGACGCTTTAGATATGCTTACTCAGCTTCACCGCTGAGCGTGTAGTGTGTTTTATTTGCTACACGCAGGTAAACAGAAAGATTAATGTGATCCTGGCGGCAGATGGGGCGAGATTGTCAGGATGGATGTGACAAGTTTTGAAATAATTTATGATATGTCAATATTAAATTCGCTTCCGCAATATTGTTAAATACTCCGTACTGTATATGTTATGAAAAATATTATTGAGATTAATAAAGTGTGTTTGAAAAGTTTTAAATTTTATGATTACCAAGATAAATACTTTAGTCCTAATGGGGCTGCAGACCTGGACGGATTAGGGTGTTACAATTTGGTATCGGAGCAAATGGTTTTAAAACCGATCTTTGGATCAAAAATTTGAATTAAAAAAAAAATATTGTCAATCACAGCCACGACTCTCGCGTCCCTTTGCTCCAGGAAAGGTATGAAAATTTACTTGGTAAATAATTACTCTACTAGAATTAGATAACAAATGATTAGTATTGAAATCGTATCGAGCGTAGACTCTAGTTGAACTTTCGTACTCGGTGAAGAGATGAAAGAATGAACGAAATATGAATAACCTCCTGATACGTTATCAACATACGCATTGCATAGTGAATAACGAAACTGGTCGACATTATAAGGTCGCACGAAAGTGAGACAATCTTGAAGAACGATTAGTGTTGATTTATGTTGAACAAAATTTGTGAAGCTGATATCAAAGATCCTCATGTGGACTCAAGACGATCTGATCACTGATTCAAACACGAACGTTTAGAATCAATATAATAAAACTCTGTTATCTAAAGTATTCCGTTCTGTTGTCTAACTCATTACAACATAATATGCAATTATATCTTGTGAATCAAAATCGTTCGTTAAGCGACAATTCCTTGAAAACCTCATTGAATTACCGTACAAGGAAATTGATAATTATCCTTAGTATGCATAGGCTGACTGGACAACGTTGGTGTTGACAACTCTAGACGAAGAACTCTTCAACTGATGGTAAACCTCATAGAGGTGAAAACAAAGCTGATTTCTAAACCGATCGAATTCATCTCAAATATATATGCGAAAATGTCTCAACCGTAAGAAGTGTGATGTCTATTCGGGTGACACGCGAAAAGAAACATCTAAGCTGAAGGAACGTACCGATAGTATGTCACCCCTCTGATATGAACTTCCTTATATTTCACCGTTCCAAGAAATTGAAAACTCTGTCAATCCTTATCCTCGAGAGGACCAATATTCGTAACTCTGTATTGAATATGTTTCCGTTAAAAAAAAACTCAACTATGAAGATTGCCTGAGAAGGAATCATCTGACAAAGTGTTTCCTGTATCAGAGAGTATCTGTTCTGTTCAAACGTGAATAAGGAAGAATCAATGAGACTCTATATCAACTACTGTCAGTTGAACAATTCGTTATCCTTATTGGGAAAAATATTATAGATTTTGATGATGATTTATGTAATAGGGACTTTAGGTCTCCCCCAATATTCAATGTAATTTTTCTTTTTAGAAATATTGTTAAAACCAAGTTCTTGAGTTTTCCAATAAAACTGTGATATTTCTTTAAGCGTTTTGATGCCTGAAGACTTGATCAAATTCAGTGATATGAAAATTGGATATCTTGATCGGAAGTGTCAGAAACAAGTAAGGATTTCTCAATCAGATAAAAATCCTCAGATCTGGAAAGACTACATAAGAACCGGATGTCTCGCTACAACCCGCTGAACGCTAAGTCATTCAAATCGGAAGACTAGCGCGGATCTCCTTCTCACCCGGAAGTAAGACTCATCCGGATTTGTCAGCTAAGAATCGGAAGACTCACCAAAGACCGGAATTCTCAGAAAGCGGACAAGTGAGAAAAGGCTTAGAAAATCATCTAAGTCCTGAATGAAGAAATTCTACC